TTTGGCCTTTAGTCAATTCTAATCGACACGTCAAACGAATCACGGTCGAACGGCACGCGGGTCTCGGTGTCAGGCTGCAGCGGGCAGCTCGTGCGCGTCGGGCGCGGACAGCGTCCGTGTACGCGGGTCGTGAGCACGGTCGCGGACTACTAGGGTGATGCGGACGAGTGCTGGCAGGGTACGTGTTGCAAACATTCGGAAGCAGGCTACACGGACGGGCGTTGGAAGCCTCGGGCGTGTGCGTGCACAAGGTGCGCTTCTCCTATGCCGATACGGACTAGCGCTGGGCGTCTGGGAACACGCGGCATACGGAGCAAAAAAGCAGGGGCACCTTTGGATGGTGCGCGCGTGACGGTCGCGCACTGGGAACAATTAGCGAGCAGACGGGCGTCACTGGCGTCGTGCGCGATGGTCGACTGGCAGCAATGGCTGATCGCGAGCAGGCAGGCAGTGCTGGGAGCTCACGGGCGACTGCTGGGCACTGGGAGCACACGGTAGGCGTCGCTGGGTGTCGCGGACTGGGCTCGGCTATGCGCGGCTGTTCGCGGTAGCGTTCGGCTGCGCGTGGTTGGGCTTGGGCGGCGACCGGCGGCGATGGGTGTTTTGCGGCGGCGATCGGCGACGATGAAGTGATGATGATGACCGGAAAATATATATATAAAGTCTCGAATAAATTGTACCCAAAAGCCTTCTAACGGATTACCTAAACACCTACTTCGATTAAACTTTGTGGAGCGTTTAATCGAATCTCCCTAACTCTCGAACGATGCTATTTCTCACGTGTATGTAGATGAGAAAATCGGCCAACATAACATTGTAGGAGAGGTTGGGACATGGTGTATTTATGGGCTCCATTAGGGACCTTAAGGAGGTGCTAAATATGGGCTTATTCCATTAGGCCTAGGAATCCTAATTCTACTCCAATACTAATTTAATGTAGGAAGTAAATCTCCTACTAATCTCCTCCTTCTAGAAGACTCCTAAGTCTCCTAACACTAGAGATGATCCTTGTAGGAATATCTGTCCTAATTAAATTAATAACCATGGAATAGAATTAATTCCTAATTTAGGAAGCCTAATTTTACTCCAATTAATATATAATGTAGGAAATATATTTCCTACTAATCTTCATCTTCTAGAAGACTCCCAAGTCTCCTAATCCCAAGAGAAAATTCTAGTAGGAATTTTATTCTCCTAATTAATTAATTAATATGGAATAAAATTAATTTCTATTTAATGGAATTAAATAAAAAAATATCCCACTAGAGTAATATTATTGCTCTCCCCATTTAGCCACTATTTTTACCAATAAAATCGAGTCTCCATGATTAAATAATATTAATCCGATTGATCGATTTACCTCCCTATGTTTAAGATATAACGTCTGTTAATTAATTAAATTACTGACAAAATAATTAATCAACTTCTTATTCATTTTTGAAATTAGTACCACTCAGACTTTAACCATTATGTCAGACAATCGTCTACCTGCAGGGTTTAACATAATTTTCCTTCCTGAGCTCATTTCAAGGACGTCATCAATCCAACGCACTGGAACATAGTGACCGTAAATAATTTATAATAGCACATCATATAATTATTCTTACTTACCAAAATACCTCGTATGTCATTCTATTAAAATAGGAATCACTTGGTAAATCAAATAAATAAGAAATAAATATATATGCCTATTTTATATTATCTTACAGCTTAAGAGAACGTATCAATCACTTAAGGTCTAGGTTACGACAACGGTCAGTGAGTCTCATATCTTTATCCTTTCGTGGTCCTGTTCAACACTTAACATAAGTGCTAGTGTAATCCTTCAGTCAAAGACCAACTAAATCAAGAATACACTACAGTCTTTTTCCAAGTGGGGTCTCACTGCCAGTCTAGACTGTGAACGAATAGTTTAGTCTTATAAGGAACCGATAGGTGATCTTTCTGTTCGAAACTCTTTGAACCACACTACCTCAATATAAGACATGGAGTATGTATTGCATAAATAAATAAACTGCAAACATATGTACTTTGACCGAAACATGATTGCCAGATCAAAATTGAATTAATAGAATCTGCAAATCATAGCTTTTACAGCATACCTCTAACAGGTGAACCAATGTGTTGAGACCTATCTCAGGTGTATGGTGCATGAGAACCCTAAGCATTGGCTAAAGTGGCTAAGTCTGGCTGAATATTGGTATAACACCAACTTTCATACCAGCTTAAAACTCACTCATTTTCAGTCTTGTATGGGTTTTCTCCTCCTAATTTTGCTACTGGGCCCTTCCTAGATGCAACTAATGCAGATGCTCATGACATGATTCTACAAAGGCAGCTAATTTCCCAACAAGTCAAGGAGAATTTGCAAAAGGCACAACACAGAATGAAATATTTGCAGACCAGCACACGCAAGAAAGAAGTTATGAAGTTGGGGATGAGGTTTTCTTAAAACTGCAACCTTTCAAACAGAATTCAGTGTCGTTGAGAAAAAATCTTAAACTCTCATCCCGCTATTTTGGACCTTATACAGTCTTGGAAAAAATTGGTTCAGTGGCATACAAACTTAACTTGCCACCAGATTCAAAAATGCATCCTGTTTTCCATGTCTCATTGCTCAAAAGAAAGGTAGATCTCACAAACTTACCTTCTACAGAGCTTCCAGATGTCGATACTGACGGCCACTTCAAGATCTTTCCTTTGCACATTGTGGACACTCGTACAATCTTCCGCAAAGGAACAACCATCGCTCAATCTCTAGTCCAATGGGCCAACGTCGATCCATCACAACCAACCTGGGAGGATGATACATACCTTCGCCGGAAATTTGCTAACTTGGGACCTTGGGGACAAGCTCCGAGCTCGGTCGGGGGTATTGTGATGAACGACGAGGAAGATGGCCAGGGATCATCGATGTTCGGAGAAGAAAGGGAAAAGGTCGTAACTTTAGGGTTAGGGATTTGAGTTATTTCTGAAAAAAATGAGGAATTCACTTGTTAAGTTTGTCAAGTTTAACATTAGTATTGGGGCCATGTTGTTGGGCTTTATTTACTTAGCTATTGAGGTATTATCTTAAGCATGTTAATTTGGGCCGGTTAGGGTTTGGTCTGTTAACCCAATTAACTATCTCTATTTGTAATTTCATTCAGTGGAGTAAGGAGCAAGAAAAATGTCATTTTCCTCTAGTTACTTTCTCTCTCTTCTCTCTTTCTCTCTCTACATGTTTTCTCTCATCTTCTCCTTCTTCCTCAACTAAAATCCAAGCTAAATTACAGTAAATAATATAAAAAAAAAAATATAAATACAGCAGCCCACTACAAATTCGTTGTGTACAAGTTCGAATTTTTACGGCTTTATTTGTCAAGATGTGTTCAAACGCAGCCATATATTGGATTATATTCGCATAACTCGGTTTTGCAGGAATTAGTTT